GTGACTGGGGTAATCGGGATGGGTGTGTCAGAGGCAGTGCGATTGGCGCAGGATAGAGCAGGGTTTAGGGCTGTTGTGGATAGGGTCGCTATGAGTCGCAAACAACTCGACGGCACATAACAATAACCACCACTAAGGACGATGGGGCAAATCAAGCTTTTCACAGCTCTTCTTTGAACACCATTCTTCTCATTCATTTGTCTTTCTGAGCTACCCAGTTCTCTAATAACACGAACATCACCCATTGTCTATGCCCAATTTCTCTTTGTACTCTGCACTAGTCCAATGTGGAAGCTGCGGGTCCATGAGACACTAAAATAAGGCCTTTAAAACAGCATGATCATATATGCACACCCATGTTTATTGCAGCTTTGTTCACAATAGCAATGAGTTGGAAACAACCTAAGTGCCCATCAACAAACGAATGGATAGAGAAGCTCTGGTATAGTCACACAATGGAATACTATGCTGCATTGAAAAACAAGGAACTCATGAAATATTATACAAAGCAGGTGACCCTAGAGGACATTGTGCTGAGTGAAATATCTCAGTCACAAAAGGACAAATAATGCATAGTGCCACTGTTGTAGAATGGTACTGACATCAGGGTTGGGGTGAGACTGAGAAAATTTGGATAAATTATGTATATTGCATTGAAACAGATGAGGAAGAGAACAGTTTAAAAGCGATACATGATTAGGTATTATGGTTATGACAAGAGTCCAGAAGGAAGGTTGCATAATGGAGTGTACTGGGAGGGGTGGGGGGAGCAGGCAATTGTATACCAAGGAAGTAATTTTTCTTTTACTTTTCAAAGAGAAGAGCCAGCTGGGGGAGGGGTACGCAGGGAGAAAAATGCAACAATGAATGCATGGAAATCCAAAATCTCTGTAAACGTTCATTAAAATTAATAAAATAAAATTAAAAAAAACCCAGCATGATTATGTTAAAACACTTAATAGAGTAGGTAACTTGGTCCCAAGTTCAGACTCAGAATGCACTGGCACCAGATAAACTGAATTTCTGCGTGTTCTCTTTTGCTCTTTAGAAAATCGCCGTGGCTGAAACCAGTTTCTACTGAGGATGAAATAAAAGTGGATCCCAGCCCATTTAGTGCTGATTTTATGATAACGCCGGAAGAGCTAGGCTTATTAGCTTTTCAAAACGGCTTTCAAAACGGCTCCTCCTCCTCCTCCTCAGGGACCTGGAAACTAGGAAAGGGTATGGCAATTTTGTCGAATTCTTTTTTCTCCCCTCTTATAGAGGAAAAGAGTGAATATAAATCTCTGCCTCAGTATCTGATTTCTAGAAAGTCTTAAGTAAAAATCCTTGGTTCATTAACAGTGTCTATTTAGATAACTTATTCATTAGAGGGTGTGGCTTATTGATTTTGTGTCAACTATTAAGAAATTAGGAGATCTGGTGGCCTCAATCCCTAGTACAGGCAGTTCGAATCTGCCAGTTGCTCTGTGGATGGGCAATCTCCCTTCGCGTGATTAACTGCCTCTGAGAACCTGCTGGAGGGTCAGCTATGGGTCGGTTCTGACTCCATGGTACTCAGCTCAACAACAATACTAAGTAATTAGTGGGAGAAGGACGGGCAATCTTCTCCCATGTGATTAACTGCATCTGAAAACCTGCCAGAGGGTCAGCTATGGGTTGGTCTGACTGTGGTACACAACATCACGGCCACTCCATTAAGTAATTCTCTCATTAAGTAATCTGTTTTCTGAATGGAGCCAGCAAAATTTCCTTCATAACAATAATTTTATTTCCTTGATACAAACCCCAAGAAATACATTCTAAAATGCGTTAGTAAGAATGAAGAGTGAAAACAGTATGCATGCAAGTGTGGAATTTTGACTTATTTTTGGCAGTCTGAAATTGAACAAGGGCGCTCTGATGGCTTAGTGGTAAGGAGTTGCACTGCTGCCCCAAACACACACAGTTCGAATTCACCAGCTGATCTGTGGGAGAAAGACGGGCAGTTTCCTCCACGCAATTTACTGCCTTTGAAAATCAGCTGGTGGGATCTTCTAAGACTCAAATCCCTATGCACATTCAAAAACTTCTCCAACAGGGTAAAAAGGGAAGCCACTGACTGGGAAAAAGTATTTGGTAATAACATATCAGA